TAGAAATCCATAAATAAAAATATCTTTATTAAAGTTAGATTTTATAGATATATTTTAACATCCTTAGATGTGTGTTGAAAATTCAAATTCTGTATTGTAAATAATAGTGCACTAATTTTAAAATAATTTAAAAATGCATTAATCAGTAAAGAATGAGTGCTTTTGGATGGAGGAGTAATAATCTTAGCACATATGATAATTTTTTACACTAAAATTCTTCTAGTTAGTGACTTACACTTATATTCAAACTTTCAGAAAGATCATATGTTATGAATATCGTAAGGGTCACTTTCCATGTGTAAAAAAGAGTAATAATTCAGATAACATAATCTGGTATATAGTAGATTAGCTCTGCAGTCTGAGATATAGAATTTCTAACATTGGAATTTATGATGTATGACCTTCAGAAAGTTACCAAGTCTCTAGAAACCTAGTTTACTAATCTCAAATGGAAAATTAATTTACAAGGTATAATGTATGTAAAACATTTTTAGCCATCAAAAATATTAGATATTTTAATTATGATTAATACCATTGCTTTGTTATTATATTTGATTCACAATAGAGCATGTAAAATAATTCACTAAGTGAGAGTCTCTTCTGTCACTGACGGGCATATTTTTGTTGCAATGTTTTACTCACTTTTAGGTCTTTCAGTTTATAATAATAAAGTTTATAGCCACATTTTATTAGTTATCTCATCCTTATCTCCGCTGAAAACTGCCTGCACTTAATCTCAAATCATAAATGAGAAACTATATTTGACATCCATAATGTGAAATATTTATTTTAAACATTTGCTTTTAAAAGCAAGGCTAGGTACAAAATATTGTACCCATTCTGATTTTAAAAATCCAAAATTAATTGTTACAATTGTTATGGATATCATTTGAAATAATATTGATTAACAATGCTGACATCATATATATGAGGTCTTGACTAATTCTCCACAGGCAATAATTTGAATACTTTAGAAAATCCTCTGGCATATTTTATACTTTAGGCTTCTTTAGCACCCTGAATTATTTAAATAAAAACACCAATGTTCTAGTATGATATAATTCTATATTAATTTTATCTCAACTGAATCACATCTAGTATTTATAATTCCCCACTAAGTGAGAAGGGCTGCTAAAGACAAAAACCACCAACACATACCTTCTGTAACCAGAATGTCCTGCATCCTTCAGTGGAGAGACCTGGTTACTCTTGTTAAGCAAAAGAAATATCTGTGATCTTCACAGTGCCCTGTGAAGCCTCAGAGTGATGCAAGAGTAGAGAAGGAGGATTTCTAATCAATGTGTCACTGAAAGTTTGAACAGGAAATTCTCACCCTTGGGCTATTCTCAAAGC